TTTGAATACTCACAAACCACCCTCGGTAATACAATCTGGGTCTCATCACACTCACCACTCTCAAAGCTAGCAAGTAGACCACTAAGTTCACTTCGCCCTCGCGAATCATACCCCGGTGGCAAAACACTACCAACCCGGTCTCCCAAGAAATGGAACCACTCCCCGCTCAGGGTACATAACGTGACCCTCTGGCGGTAGCAATCGATAACAGCCCGGTATGACGATAGCCAGTCCATACGCAAAATAACATCAAAGCCCTTCATGGGTATGATAACAAACGGAAAAGGAAGCCTATAGTCGGCGACCTCTATATCACAACCTCTAACACCCTGTTTCAGGATCAACTCACCACCAAGAGGTGACACTACACAAATAGGAGATACTAACTGTGCTAACTCCAACTCCAAAATAGATGCAAATGAAGCAGATACAAAAGAATGAGATGCACCCGTATCAATCAACACATTAGCAACCGAGTTGCAAAACAAAAAGGTACCTCTCACTACTGATGAAGCCGGTACTAGATCCTGCGCGGTAACAGCATACACGCGCCCCATGGGCCCCTGATCTACTTGCTCACCCCTCGGAGCATACGACTGCTGCACTAACTAGGACGACGAAGCCCCCGGATTGGCCCTCGAGGCCTGCACAGACTGAGCTGGCTGAAATCCCTGCGTCTGTCTAGAACCAGACGCTCCTGAAGTGGCACTCAACTGTGGGCAAAACCTCTTCAGGTGCCCAGGCTGCCCACACTGATAGCAAGATAAGGGCTGCCCCCTGCCCAAACTCTGACTCTGGGGTCTAGCTGAAGAAGAAGCAGCTCTCTGACCTCCGCTCCTCTGCGGGCAAACCGAAGACTTGTGACCCAGCTGGCCACAAGTGTAGCAAGTCAAACCTCCCTAATTACCTCTCCCTGAGCCTGCACTTGGCACCGGAAAGGTCGATCTAGCAACTCCGCCCTGAGACTGCTGAGGGTTGTAACCCCTCTGTCTCCTGCCACCACCCTGACCATCCTGGCCCCTCTTGGAGCCTGCATGCTTCTCCTCCTCCTCCTCCTGCATCATAAGCTCCATATGAGCTGCAGCATCCACCAAATGTCTATACTCTCGGATATAAGACCCACCAACCCTCAACTTGAGGCCCCGCCTCAACTTCCGTTCAAACTCATAGCAACGGCGTTCTTCGGACGCCACCAACTCAGGTGCAAACCTGGACAAACTAGTAAAAGTGTCTTCAAACTCTGCCACAGACATACCCTGCTGATTAAGCCGGCTAAACTGATCCCTCACCTCTCCTGGAATGCATTCACGAACGCCTCCCATGTACCACCAACACGAGCCTTCTCGTACTTCCACCATTGACTCACATCTCCCTTCAGCTGGAAGGATGCCAAGGTCACTTTCAATGCTCCGTCCTCGATGCCAAGCATCTCGAATGTCTTACTCATTTGTTCTCACCACTCGTCAGCCTTCAGTGTTTCCTTCGGATCTCCAACAAACTCGTCCGGATTAGACCGGAAGAACTCCCTCTTAAAGAAAGAAGACCTTGCCTTAGCTGCCTGATTCCCTGCTCTGAGAATACCCAAAGCTCCTGCTATCTCTCATGCCAAGACACTCATGGCCTGCTGACCCGCTGGCTCGACCACATTGGCCTAGGCAACTCCCTCCTGCACTGCCGGAATATCATCTGGTAAAGGTACTTCCTGCCTCGCAGGCCTACCACGCCTAGCACCTCTTCCTCGTCCTGACATCCTAATAAAGGTAATACAGAACGTTAGCACATTCACAAATGTGCCAAAACTAAACACTCACGTCCTAATGCGTGGACAACTGTAATTCACTCCACGTAAGCACATAAACACATAAGCACTTACGAATTTTATTTCCAGATAATGATAGTCCCCGAGGCGTTACTAGAGTTCCGGTTAGAAACGGCATTGATCAAGTGCCTTTCCAACAAGACTCCCAGAAACCCAAGGATCCAATCAACATCCTAGAAATTAAATCCCATACCCATATAAATACATAAACATGTTATCAATTTAAACACATAGCATATGACACTACACCTAAGTCTCTATCAAGCGAGACAAACCCATTGTGATACTAATCACTTCCCACGTACCCAAAGTATTCGAACCCAGTACGCTCTGATACCAAGTTGTAACGCCCTCAAAATAATAATAATAAACCCATCAAATATAGACATGCATTGATATATGAAAGGTCCACATTCTTCTATTCATCAGAGTTCCATTACCAAAAAGTATTACATGTTAACGACAAAATCAAAGGCCCTAAAGGCTTACAGCTTTCCAAGTTAACACTTGGTTACAACAAAAGAGTGCTAACTCATTTACACATTAAGCCCTTGGCTTGAATATACATATAATACATCAAAGAAACTAAACAACAAAAGTCGGCCCGCCTCTAGCCTCCTAAGCTACGTCCTTGGAGGTGGCATGCTACCTGTATCTGAAAATGATATTCCCATATAGGGTGAGCCATAGCCCAGTAGAAATACACTAAACCAAATATGAACGATGACTAAAAGATTAGCAGTTGATAGATGGACAACAATGAAACTTCCCTTATCACACTTTACGGTTTCATGACATACAAGTCCATGTTATAATCCATTTTCCAATTCTTTTCAATTCTCAATTTATAACCATGGCTCAGAACCTGGCCAAACAACTTATATGAGATAGTAACTCATATTTAGGCACTTTCCCGTTTCATAATAGATAAGCATACTAGCTATATCACACACCAACAGATAAGCACACAAGCTATATCATCACTTCCATAGATATGCATAAGAGCACTATCACACTTCCAAAGACAAGCATATGAGCTCTGTCAACATATTACTAGATAAGCATATGAGCTCTATCTATGGAGTCCACCCCCTATCTTCTCCCAACAACATCCGGTTTAAAGGTCCATCCCCTAAACCGTGGAGTACATCCCCTATCTCCTCCAACACGACACAATGCATATAAACAATAATTATACACATCATCACACAACACATAAATTTAATGTATTCTTTTAACCGTCGTACCGAATGACACATTCCAGTGATTAGTTCTAGTTTGCCTAATCATCATGCATTATCTACAACAATCAAGACTATCCTCCACAGATAGCCCAAAGCAGTTATTTCTATACAGAAAATAAATGCAACAATGGATATGTAATCAACATTTCAACCAGGTGAGTGATAAATAATCGAACTGCACCCTTTAATTCCATACATTTCCACATTCTCAATTCAATTCCTCATTCCCAACAATTAATTATACAAATTAATCAATCAATGTAATTAGGGCATTTTCCATAATTAACATTACAACCCTTAGGTTCCATTTTCATTAATATTTTAACATTAATTTCACTTTTTCCATGCCGAACATGCATCTAGGCTTTATATAGCTAAAACCCTAACTTTTTTAAATTTACACAAAAGCCCCAAACTTTCACCAAATTACCAAACCAACCCAACATCTCAAAATACTAAAATTTAAAGACAAAGCTCGTAATAAGGAGTAGGTTATCCCTACCTCAAAGTTTGAGCTCCAATGGAGATGAAGACCAAAACCAATATGCTTCAAAATCTGAAATTTTCAGATTAAAATGTAGCCCTCGACGATCAACACAACTTTCGTAAAGACCAAAAGTGAGCAAACAACTCCTACTAGATCAAATCTAAGAGAGAAGGGCCGGTTTTAGAGTGAGAAGCTCTGAAAATGGCTTTTTGGAAAAGTAGGAAAGAGAAAAGATCTTGAAAAAGTGATACAAAAGTCGAATCTCACTTTTAAATAAGAGTCGCCCCGCTCGAGCGTCAAACTCCCCGCTCGAGCGGCACTCACAGACTCCCGCTCGAGCGGCCAATCCCACGCTCGAGCGTCCAACACTGCACAGGAAATACTGGATGGGTGAAATTCCCGCTCGAGCGCCAAAACCCCCGCTCAAGCGGACAAGCAACAAAAGGGCCCCCGCTCGAGCGTCAAACTCCCCGCTCGAGCGGACAGGTCAAAATCTGGGCAACTAGTTTTGGTTTCTAAACTCAACCAACCTGTAACAAACCTGCCCAACACATCTTATAACTCAAATACAAAGTAAGAAAGGATGTACACAAGGTAATAATCAACTACTATCATCCACGGACACATGTTCGGATCACTGTACAACAAGGGTAAACACGGGATTGCTATAACCTCCCCCCCTTAAAGAATTTCGTCCCCGAAATTTGGCACAAGTTTAAAAGAAAACAGGTTTTCCTCCATTTTAAACAGTGTTACATAATCAAATGAGGGTATATTGTTAGTTCATAACAAAGTATAGATTTTCTGTTTTAGTTCATATTGTTGGTTCATAACAATATTCAAGCTTGCTTTTTACTGTTGTGGGTTGTTGTTTTCCTCCTCCATTACTGCAAATTTGTTATACTCTTCCAATTCTATCTTGACTCCTTGGCTCCTGCAGCTTTTTCATTCCAGGTTTGCTTATCTTCTTCACTCAATTCCTACAAGTATAAAACCAAAATTTTCAATACTTCATTTTACATTTTCAAAAAAAGAATTACCTAAATAGACAGTTAAATTTCACACCTTCCATTTCACTGAAATGAGGGCATTAAGGGTAGAGTCATTAATTCCCGGCCTCTCTTCCAACAAGTTCTTCCTTGCCTCTTTGCTGTATTATCAACAAAAATAACATAGTATAAGAAAATATAAAGCAAATTTCATTACATTTTGTTGTACTGTTAATGTCTTCTAATTCTTTGATTCACCTCCATATGGCTAATCCGTGACTATTAGCAATTCCAGCATCATTCTGAATAAAAATAAAATGACCAAAATTTTAGGTATTTACTTTTAATCTTGTTAGGTATATATATAGGTGCTTGAGAGGGTGGTTTATGATCTAGAATTGGGCCGAGGTAACGGCCGAGCAAGTTGAGAGCCCAACCGTGCATGGGGCCGAGATGATCGATCATCCACCCGGAGATGGGCCGCCAGAACTTGGGCCGGGCAGAAATTGGGCAAGTGTGTGCCACCCCGGACCGTAAAGAAGCCGCTCGGCAAGGCAGTGCTCGGTTGGACCGAGCTGCTTGGTCAGGGATGGCTGAAGCCAGACAAGCTGAGTGACCGACGCCCGGAAAGGCGTGGTCAACCAAGGAAACCGTTCGATCGACAGGAAGGCCGATCACAGGAGGTGCCCGGGCTAGGTTCTGCCGGGATGCCGCTTAGCCCGGTCCTCCTTGGGTTTAGCCTGTGAGGTGCTTGGGTTTGAAGCACAGCATGGCCATGGATAGAGCAGCTCGGCTGCCGAGCTCCAGCTGTGAAGGCGGGCAGTTGAGATTAGGTGATGTTCAGCAAGGTTTATGCTGACAGATGGGATAGCGGAGCCACGTGTCAGGAGATGACTGGGAGTAGATATGGGGCACAGAGGGGTATATAAGCAGGGCTGCGCCCCCCATACGCGACAGATGAACACTTTGTAAGGATTTTCTTACACTAAAACACCTCCCTCTCTCTCTCTCTCTCTATCCTAAGGTGTGTGCTAACTTCATCGTCGGAGGGTTTTTCCGGCCACACATCGCCGGGTAGCTCACCATTCTTTGCGCGCAGGTGATCGGACATAAACGGAGCTTGGAAGAAAGGAGTACGGGCTTGCCGGAATATTTGCTCCCCGTACAATTGGCGCCGTGCTGCCAAACAGTAAGATAGATGGCAACTTGAGCCTTGACATATGACTCCGAACGCAAGGTCCATCATATGGGATCCATTCATCTTTTAAGTAAGAAATAATATCGATCTCATCTTATTTTATTTGGTCAAATTTATTAGTTGAAAATATTATTATTACATTCAATATTTGTTGAGTGTCAAGACCACTATATAGTAGATACGATAGAAACATAAAGGAGTAGAGTGGAGTCGAGTCGAGTCGAGTCAAAATGTAAGTTGTTTACACTTAATATTTGTGGAGAATCAAGACAAGAATATATAATGGATACAAAAAGACTCTAAGTTTGTGTTTGGATTGTGAATATACATTTTAGGGTTTCTTTCTAAATTTCTATCAAAATCAATGATATAAACACAACTTAAGGGGTCAATTCGTGCCAAATAATAGGTTATTCAAGTTTGATTTGAATTTAACGATTGTTTTAGAACCGATTTTTTTAGCAATTTTTTTTAATGAACTTTTTAATAAAAAATAAAAAAAATTAGACTTTTAAAATTTACTTAACCAGACGAACTAGAATATTAACAATTAAAAAATATTTAAAAAATCCTCTAAAAAAAAAAGAGAGTAAAATATAGGGGAAAATACATAACAATAGTAGTTTGGAAAAATAATTACAAATTCTTGAAAAATTTTAAAATTTTAATTATTACTATTTATAAAATTTATCATTAATTTGTAATAATTTTTTTAAAAAAAATATCACTGATGTAATATTTCTCTCCCTCTCTATCTCTCTATTTCAAGCTCCAAAGTCCCTTGTTCTTGGCCCATTGCATACCACCTCCTATCCTAACCCCTCCACCATCACTCTAAGCATTTTGGAGGCCATTTTCACAGGTTGAAGGTTTGTATTTTTGGTCTAGAAGCTGCTAGAGTTCTTGGCTTCAAGGGTAACACTTCTTTCCCTCTTTTAAGCATTGTTTGCTTCATCCTTTAGCTATATTTCTAAGCATATTTGGGATTTGTGATAAACTAAAAAAAGTCTTATTGGTCGGTGTATACTTCGCAAGTAGTGCCATACAGATAATGCCGCGCAGTTGGGCAAGAGTCCAGCCGCTCAAGTGACCGAGCAGAGGAATCGGACCGTGGTTCAAATCGAAAAAATCGGGGCAGAGGATGTCGGAATGACCGGGATGACTACCCCCGAGATGACGTAGTGGACGCAGACAGAAGGATGAAGGCAAGGACTGGCATAACCACGGTCTTCAAGATTCCAATCTATCGCATACTTAGTGAAATCCGAGACGAGGAGTATGTCTGGTTTCCTGCTAAGTTGGGTGATGGACAAAAGGGCTATAATCCGCGGTATCGTTGCACGTTCCACCGGGAGAGAGGCCACCGGACTGAGGATTGTTTGCCTTTGCGGCAACACTTGGAAGAGATGGTTGCGGCCGGGCATCTAGACCTTTACATTGATGGCGACGTGAAGCCGAATCATGCTCCAGTCGATCCCAGGGACAGGATGACCGAGACGCACCACCACAAGGAGTTATTAATGCCATCCACGGCATCGTGGAACCAGAGCGTGTTTGTGAACTCCGGGGCATGATAAAAAAGGCAGAGCATATGAGGGAAGTTTTGTCGATGCAGCCTGCCATCAAAAGGGGGAAGACAGAAGAAAAAGACGTGATTAGTTTCACCTCAAGGGATCTAGAGCGTATCCAGATGCCGCACAACGATGCCCTAGTAGTAACATTACGCGTCAAGGACTTTGATGTTAAGCGGATCTTGATCGATCAGGGAAGCTCGGTCGAGATCATGTACTATGATGCGTTCAAGCAGCTTAAACTCCGGGAGACAGACTTGGCTCCGGCAACTTCGCCACTGGTTGGATTCAACTCGCAACCAGAGTGGCCTTTGGGAAAGATTATCCTGCCGGTCAAAGCGGGATCCGTGGTCAAACAAGTTGAGTTTTGGGTGCTACAAGTGCCTTCAACATACAACCTTATCCTTGGAAGGGGATGGCTACACGCCATGCAAGCTGTAGCATCGACTTATCACCAGGTGATGAGATTTCCCTCGGTCATGGGGGCAATCGAGGAGATTTGGGGTGATCAGGTCATGTCCAAGCAGTGCTTTGTGGCGGTCAACGGAAGCCGGGCTGCCAAAGGATTCGTTCAAATGATTGAGGGACCGGAGGACCAGGGTGTCTTGGATGATGTGGGCACCAAGGCCGAAGACAAGGCTGTTGAGGAATTGGTTGAGGTGCGAATTGATACAGAACAGCCGGACAAGTTCTTCTTGCTCGGCTCAAGTCTCACAGCCGTAGAGAGGACCGAGATGGTTGAGTTTTTAATGGCCAACATCGAAGTCTTCGCGTGGTCGCCCTACGACATGCCTGGCCTCGATCCAAGTTTTATCTGCCACCACCTCAACGTATAATCAAACTAACAAACAAAGGAAATAATAGTAAACATATTGAAAGAAGTTCTAATATTATTAGTAGAGGTAAGCATGAGAAGACAGCCTTGAGATGCAGGGATTCAGATGACTTGCAATTGGTTGTCGGAGAAAGAAAGGTAAAGTTTGGGGAAACTAAGATCAAAATCTTGTATCACTTCGCTTGTATATATTAAGAAGAATGGGAAGTGGCGAGTTTGTGTCGACTATAAGACGGTCAACCGAGCTTGTCCCAAAGACAGTTTCCCTTTGCCGCGCATTGACCAGCTAGTGGACTTGACGGCTGGACACAATAGGCTCAGTTTCTTGGATGCGTACCGCGGCTATCACCAGATCGCCATGCATGGGCCTGACCGAGAGATCACCTCTTTCACGACTCCAAGGGGGCTATTCTACTACCGAGTCATGCCTTTTGGTTTGAAGAACGCCGGGGCAACCTTTCAGAGGATGGTGACCAAAATGTTTGCTCCTTTGCTTGGCCGGACAATGGAGGCTTACATCAATGATATGGTGGTAAAGAGCCGACATAAAGCAAACCATTTGTCCGACTTGATTGAGATGTTTGCCATTCTGAAGAAACACAAGCTGCGCTTGAATGCGTCAAAGTGCGCCTTTGGCGTGGGATCCGGAAAATTTTTGGGGTTCCTAGTCACGAACCGAGGCATTGAAGCAGACCCTACTCAGATCAGAGCCGTGCAGGAGTTGAAACAGCCGAGCTCGGCTAAGGACGTGCAGCATCTGGCCGGGATGGCCACCGCGTTTAATCGGTTTATAAGCCGGTCATCAGATCGCTGTCGCCCTTTCTTTCAAGCATTGAAGTCAAAGTTCTCGTGGGACGCAGAGTGTGACCGAGCTTTGGCCGAGCTCAAGGAATATCTGTTTACTGCGCCACTATTGGTTACACCAAAGCCGGGAGGGGAACTCTACCTTTACCTTGCCGTCTCCCAGCACGCGGTCAGTGCGGTGTTAGTCCGCGCTGAAGGAATCAAGCACTTCCCAATTTTTTATGTCAGCAAGACCTTGCTGCTGGCTGACACGAGATATTTGCCGCTGGAAAAGCTAGCGTTGGCATTGATGATGGCTTCGAGGAAGTTGGTGCATTATTTTCACGCCCATACCATTGTCGTACTGACCGAGTTTCCCCTCAAGGCCTTGTTTGAACGGGCAGACTTTTCAGGCCGAATTCTTAAGTGGGCGGTCGAGTTGGAACAATTTGATGTGAAGTTCCAGCCGTGCACCGCTATCAAAGCCCAGACCTTGGCAGATTTCGTCGCCGAGTTCTCTCCTGGCACTCATCCGGTTTGCCCGGTCGATATTACCGTGGCAGATGATGAGATGCACGCAAGACCATCCGAGATACAACTAGTTGGTGGAAGTAGCGATGCGGAGTTTGCGCGCACCTGTGAAGCACCCTCAGTTTGCATGGTTATACCACCCGGTGATGCGATGACAGAGTTGTGTATCACCAACCCATCCACTCTGTCTGGTCTCGCATCATCAAGGGGGGAAGAAATTGAACTTGATGATTCGCCTACGGA